TAAATTTTGAAAAGTTTCAAATTTATACTTTTTATAAATTTTCTTTTTACGTATTTCTTACTCTTTTTTTTTTTATTTTTAAAAATAACTTTTAAATTTTCTCTTCAATAAAAATTTAAACTTATAACTCATAAACAGTATAAAAAAATAAAAGCTCCAGGAAACTTCAACAAACCGGTCCTAAATATTTCTCTATTGAGATTTAATTTGTATTTGTATTGAAGGGTATGAGTATTCTTTATTTCTTTATTCATTAAAAAAAATTCCCTAAATATTGTTTTAGTTTTATATTTTTTTTATTTGACAAGCTAATTAGTTGAAATTTTTATAAAAGAGAAAAAATAATAGCTCAAACGCTAATCATATATTTATTAAATAATTTGATTGATTACCTTACAAACTTTTTAGAGATTACATTTAATGTTTAAATCTGTAATTTTTATTAAAGCTCAAATAATTTTAGTTTTTTTAATACACAAAACTGACGGTAAGGTACATCACTCAAATAAAGAATTACTATCATTAAAAATGCGCAAGGTGGCTTACAAAAGAAATATAAATTTAGGTTTTGTTTATTATAATTATGATTTTTAATTTTTAGTTTTAGATTTCATAAATTTTATAAGCATTGAAAAGTAAAATTAATAATAAAAAGATTTAACAATAATTAAGATTAGTTTTAATGTCAAAATCTAAAAATACAAACTTGTCCAATGATATTAAAATTATTTTTATTTCTCCAATATAATAGTAATAATATATGAAAAAAATTAGGAAACAAAACAATTTTTAATTTAAAATTACGAAAGTAAAAACATTTATATCTTATAATTTAAATTTAAAAGTAAAAAGGTCATTTTTTAATTATAAAAATTACACAATTTTTATTTTTTCATCAGTTAAACATGATGTGATAATTAAATAATTCCATTTGACATTTTTTTTTAATTTTTTTGATGACATGACAATTATATATATTATAATTATGTTATATGGATAAATAAAAATATCA